TTATGTGTATAATAGGTACCTATTGCATTTATTTTTAATACTTAATTTTAAAAATTTAAAAAGAATAACTATTTTTTTGATTTTTTAAAACTATCGACTGACTTAATGAACGATATTACCTTTATATACTCATTATTTTTGACCAATTGTGATGTAATAGATCGAAATCCACACATATACTGATATATTTATGTACATTAGTTTGATACTCACTGTTACTAAGGAAATTAATATTTTTGTTATAAAATTGAGTCCGGGGTACCTTGGCATTGATTTAAATATCGATTAGCAGGTGTGAAACGAGTGCAAAATTGGTATCGTGTGCAAAAGCAATTGGAAATACATAAATACATACGACAATCTTAAAACATTGTAATGATCAGGATTATTTTGTCATGTTGTTCGAGTACATGTACTGCCCCTCTATCAGTCCCACTCGCAGCAATTAAATTTCAGATAGCAATACCGATGATAGTAACGTCTACAATTGCTATAAACAGCCTATTGTCTCCTCAGTAAACAATACTTATTATTTTGCTTCATTTGTTTTGTAAAAAGAAAGAAATAAATGAATTTCCATTGTTAATAAAAGGAGTTAAATATTTCTCTTTATTGTTTAAAACTCGGTTTAGTAGAACGTAAAACTTTTGAGAAAAAGTAAGTGGTACCTTTATTAAATTTTGTTCTTATTAAAAATAATTGAATCTGAAGCTTTATTTTAAAATTTGTTAAGCTCGAAGAATACCCACCTGTTGATTTTTTTAACCGTAGGTATCAACATTTACACCTTACTTCAAGGACTTTGTAAACAATAGTTTTTGAAACTAATTTTTTTATTTTTCAAAAATTGTTTTTTCCACTTCTCTACTTAGTAATCCTCACTGTGAAATTTACTAACCGAATTATAGAATTAATAAAAATTAGATTCATAACTTTAAAATAACGTATGGTTTTAATTTATACCAAGCTTGATGCACTATACTTAATTAAAATTTCGTTTGCAATGTAAATATCATACCTATCTTGTATGGTTTTTCTAAATTTGAAATTTATTTGGTTAAATTTGATTTCAATTTAGTGTTCAGCTTTGAGTTAAATATTATAAATAACTATTTATTTATTTATGGTTTCGAATATTGGTTAATTATTTTAACAAGCTATTGAATTTTACATGGGTATCCTAAAAATGTCGATTTAAATCACCTAATTTTAAAAGTAATTAATAAGTACATTCTTTTGTCTTCAAATTATCGTCATTTTCTAATACGTTTGTGACCGCAAATATTTTTATTCTTCTTACAGTTCTAATACGTCTTATTGTTGCGATTTTTGATTGGTTGAGAGCCTGTTGATAAACATTTTGTACTGATATTGAAAACCGCAAGAGCCTCCATACTTTACACATTCAATTGTCCTTTGTATCATTGTTAATCAAGCTTGGTATTACAACCCTTCGTGCTATTAGTAAGTTTCAAATATTTTTACATACTTAATATTTCACTAATTATATTTAAATTCGTTTGTTCTTTAAAAGTACATTTACGATAATTAGGTAGTTTAAAATGCACACTTATAATGAATGTATTTCCTAAAATCAATTTTTAACTTTTTATTGAAATTTTTAAAGGTGCGCGATTGGTGAAGCATGATTTAAATACCGACGTACCAAACACCAAAAAATTTCAACAAATTTTTGAATACGATACTCAGTACAGACTAAAGATCCTTTTCTATATTGTTTACGTATTTTAATTGAATTCAACTTTTATTTTTCGTGTTTATTTTACTTTGTAATTGCTTACCAATAATTGTCAAAATTAACAGATAGGAATGTTGCACTTATTCAATAATTTTCGAATGTTTATGTACTCAGATAACAGAAAGCAAAAATCAATATTTGGATGATAAAGGACTTGATTAGAAATCCTATGTTGGATATAATTTTTATGTCTTTAAGATTGCTACACATATTTATTGTTAAATGTCTGAAATGCTGTCGTATGGAATATTTGCAATGTGTTAAATTTAATGCTTATTAAATAGAAAACGTATAAAAGTAACTTCGTGGTCGTTCACCTGAATTAATGTGCAATCTGTAATTCATCTACGTGAAATGAAAGATAGGATTTTATTCGATATTAGTTTAGAAATAAAAAGTTAAATCGCTCTAAAAATTGATTTTAACCAATGTCGGCAGTATAGTAATTTAAACTGAAGGCTTTTGTACTATCATTTTGAGACATTCTTTTTTAATTAGTCCAATAAATACTCTTAAGTGCCTTCAACATTCTACTTATAACATTGTCTTTACATTAGCGTACAGAACAAAATGAACGTGTGTTATATTCTGTATTGTGTGTGAATGTTTTTGTAGAAAGTAGCCAAGTGTAGGTACCTACATCCACATTTATGCATTAATAGTGAAAGTGTTTTAGTTCTGTTTCAAAATCAAACAGGGACAGTAGAACGAACAAAATTGCTAAATTATAATAATTGTGTGATTAGTGTATTAAAGTTCAAAAGGTTTGTGGTTTTAAGAATCATTTTTGTTGTGGCATTTTTTTTTTGTAACATTGGTAAATTGTTACTGTCTTACTTTGTTTGCTAACTACTTTTTTCCTTTCTTTAGATGAGTATTAGTGTCTGGTCTAGTCTTAAATCTGTTTTCTTGTAATTTTATTTTGTTTTGAAAATAGGTAATCACAAAATAATTTTGCTTATTACCTTTTTTCATATAAATTTTTGTTGTGCCAAAAACCTTGTAGCTGCAATAAGTGAAGGTTATTTTGTTACATTCTAATCGACAAAGTCTCTTTGACGCATTAATTTGCATAAGTATTCACGAAAAATATTTTGCAAAAATAATCACATTCTTTTTTCTAGTGATTCATTTACTGTAAGCATTTGTCTATTATCTGATCTTAATATGTCTAAGGAGTTCAATACATTTTGAAGTAGGTACATATTTTGATTGAAAAGCAATTAATATTATCTTATAAAGTACGCTCTGTTATTAAATATGTTGGGTTTTAAACGTAAATTTTAAAAGGGAGGAGATGGAGGTAATATGCGAATGGTATTTTTCGTACAATTACGATTATCATTCTATATCTGATTTGCCCTTAATCGCAAACGAATATTTTAGAAATGGATCACAGTCACCATCACATGGATGATGGAATGGTGGACACAAGACTTGACCATGACCATAATCACAACGATAACGGCTCGTCTGATTCTTCCCATGTGCACTCGATGCAAATGCAAATGTGGGTCAGTAGCCATTTCTTATGGGCTGTATAAAAAATGATAGTAATAATTTTTAAAAACCTATCCCTCTGATACAATACCTGTGTACCTAATGCATGTGTGTGGATGTGGTGCTAATTGGCACTCTTTAACTTTGTTTTTAGTTTTACTTTGGCAATTCAGCGACGGTTTTATTCGAAAGTTGGACATTTAGTTCTATAGGAGGGCTGGTTGGTTCCATGATAGGTATCTTCTTTTTAGCGGCGCTATATGAAGGATTAAAATATTATAGGTAAAAGATAATGACAATAAAACAAAAAATACTCTGCAAAATATGATTGTTTTTAAGGGAGTATTTATTCTGGAAAACTTACAATGCACTTCAATATCGCGCCGTTACCTTGCCCTCAGAGAAAGGGGTGGTAAATGACGAAAATCAAGTTGTTCAGTAAGTAATTTCCACTTGTATTTATTGCATACAGTTGCATTTGCTTATTTAATGAAGAAAGCAATAGGTAATTTAATAATTACGGACCTGCGCACTTATTAATTAAAAAACACTTGGTTGAGAAGGTAATATTAATTAAAAAATTTTCGTTTTATGCAGCATGGTCGGTGAAGTCATCCATAAACAGCCGTAAGTTTAATAAACACTAAATTTTCGTGTGTGTGTAACACAAAATGCATGATATCTTGTTTTACTAATTTTCTTTGGTTTCTTCATTTACTTTTTTATAACATTTTATTTTTGCAGCATTTTAACCATTTCCTTTTTAATTTATTTCTTATTGCTCTAATATTTATTTATAAAGACAATATATATTTTCTCTTTTTTCTGATTAACACGCTTTTGTTGTTTTAATATTTATTTCCGGTTCTTACACTTGTTTCGTATTTTCCATTTGTGCGTTCACCCTGTATAGCATTGATACGTGTATACGAGGTGAACCCAAGAAATACTTTACGGAACAATGTGTCGGCCATGTTGGAAAAAAATGCGAAATTCGCTTTTGTTTACAGGCCAACTATACTGAGTAAAATGCATTTCTTCCAAACGTTCCTACACGTGATTCAAATTACCCTTTCGTACTTCTTGATGTTGATTTTTATGACTTACAATGCGTGGCTGTGCATAGCATTGGTTTTGGGGGCTGCATTCGGTTATTTCCTCTTCGGTTGGAAGAAATCTGTTATCATCGATGTGACGGAGCATTGTCATTAGCGATACACCCCCGCATTCATAGGGGCTCATGTCTTGGTGGTCAGACGATGTACGGCAAAATGTAAGACATCACAATAACAACCTGATCGAAAAAACTTTTTCCATATCTCAATAAAGACAGTATTCTCGTGTCATAAACAATTTTTGACACAAATTTAGGGAACGATAATATTGTTACGCTTTCCCCTGAATTTTTAAGCTCAAAAAGTTTTCATTTGCCACTAAAATTTTTATCTGTGGATTTAACACTGTAATATATGTAATTATGAATGTATAAATGTAAGCATTAAATATGTCCGAATTGTATTTTAAAATAAAATCTCCTCTAGTTGAATCTTAAAACACAGATAAGGCTTACAACTAGTTAAGTTTATATATTTTCGGGGAACATCATATTTATTTTATGGACATTGACAAATCACTATGCAGGACTTAAATTCTGACTTCTGCTTTTTTATATTTAAGCACCAGATACTTCTTGACACTATTTTTTGTTTACGATTAGTTATCAATTTATTTGCAATCCCTTTTTATTGTAAGCATTTTATTCACCACTATACTTGTGACTTTTCCTGTTAGGTAATCTATTAATACAATAGTTAAATTCAAGCAAAAAAGGCCTAAACTGTTTTTATAGTTTTGGACTTATATATTATTATGGTCCACCCTGTATATATTTATTGTTTTTTGTAACATTGGTAAATTGTTACTGTCTTACTTTGTTTGCTAACTACTTTTTTCCTTTCTTTAGATGAGTATTAGTGTCTGGTCTAGTCTTAAATCTGTTTTCTTGTAATTTTATTTTGTTTTGAAAATAGGTAATCACAAAATAATTTTGCTTATTACCTTTTTTCATATAAATTTTTGTTGTGCCAAAAACCTTGTAGCTGCAATAAGTGAAGGTTATTTTGTTACATTCTAATCGACAAAGTCTCTTTGACGCATTAATTTGCATAAGTATTCACGAAAAATATTTTGCAAAAATAATCACATTCTTTTTTCTAGTGATTCATTTACTGTAAGCATTTGTCTATNAAGGAAAGTATATTGATGTGAAAAAATATGTATAAAAATTGCTTATTTTAAAGCAGTCTTCCTCCATTAAATAAATATTGTATGAAGCATTGAAAATTGCTTTGTTTCCCTGGGGTAATACACAGTAAGACACTAATCTCTACTTTTAGTAAATTTTATTAGTAACACAATATTTATCAGTACAAAATATCATCGATAAGAAAAAAGAAAATCGAAACTCATACACAGAGTTCTTCTGGAACTCGACTAAACAGGAATTTTATATATATGTTTAATGAAAATACTCACAAGAAATTTAACGTACAGTAGTAGCAAGTAGTAGTAATTGTAGTAAACGTGCACCTAGTGCCTCTATTATAAAATAATGCTCAACTCAAATGCAATTTGCAACGCGGGCGTATTTTCTGTGTTTTATTTATTATTATTTTTTTTATAAATTTGGTACACAGATCGACTCACTATCATCCTAAACAGGATGCTACAATAGCCGCGTTTGGTGCCTTCTTCTACAGAACGTTCTGATTACGGATGAAATGTTGATCTCCTTCAGAGACAAATCGTTTGCGTCCTCTAGAAGGCATTCGTCTCTGTACATTTTCGGAAATGAATCCCTCTTTGTGACAACGCTCCACGAACCGATCCAGAATGATATAAGCCAAAGGAACATCCATAGAAATGTCGTTAAGATCGTCAAAAACGCGTAAGAAACCTCTTTCCATCTGGTCTCGAGTAACTAGCACAGCTTCATCAAATGCCTTCAGTAATTTACATATGGCTTCCTCTTTTGTGGCATTGTTAGCCTCCAGAGCCATCACGATGGCCTCATAGACGAGTTCGTGATGAAAGTGAGGAACTTCCAAGGCCCTGAGGCACCTGGATGCTTCTTCAATGTCAAATGAAGACATATATTCCTGTAAAAGAAGAGTCATTTGACGAGTCAAATATTTGACAGGACGTAGGGCTCCTCCGATGCCCCAGACGTTGTGCAAACGTACTAGACCATGCTTCATGGAGAGGAGTGTGTGGGCACGATCAAGAGCTTCCAGGCACACCGCAGTCTCGCATTTTCCCTTGGCTGTTTGAATAAACTTGGGTGGAATACAATCGTCAGCGATGGCTCGGGCCACAAAGTTGCCCAAGACCGTTGGGGCGTCTGGAATATCAATAATCAAATCGGGCAAGTTTGCAAGAAGACTCTCGAAGGCTTTGGCGATATCTACTTCCGTTATAACGTGCCCGAATAGATCAGAAATCAGAACGGAAGTCATCTCTTTGTGGGAAGATTTGTGATCCATTGCGATTTCGATTGCTGTCTGAACGAACAAATCTCGTCGATTTTTAGGTACAGTGTCTCCAACAGATAGTTCAGCCTCATGAGTGTCTCCGTTCTCGAAATACTCCAGAATGATGGGGTCCATTTTCTTTCTCAATTCCTCGTCTTGAGTATCGGGAATGACGGCTTTCAGCTCGATGTCCCCATTGGTCATGCTTTCACTGTCATAATTGGGATCGTTCATATCTTCGTAAGCTTCCAGGAGTTCGGAACCAGGAAGTCCCCAAACTCCCTTACCTCCAGCTCCGCCTTTTTTCGGTAGGCCTCGCCCAAAACCATTACGGGATCTGCGACTATTTTTCCAGCTACGGGGACCATGAACGAAATTGGTCACGGCGACATTTTCTTTACTGTTTTGGCGGCTAACCTTCTTCGGCTTACGTTTGGTCAAAACATCTCCGCTAGACTTTTCTTCATTAACAACTGGATCCTTTTCGTCCAATTCGTTTTCAATGGCGTCTATTTCAGCTGTAGCCATGGTTCTTCTTTAAAACTGATAACACGTTTCCACTTGTTTAATAAAACTAAATCTGCAAAAAAATAAAAATGTATGCGTTAGAAAAAAGGAAAGGACATCTAAGCTATGAAAATTTCTTTGATTTCTGTGAGGTTTCTACTGAAAATAAATGAAATTATAATAAAAATTGGTCAGGTCTAAATTCGACTCACTCGTTTAGCGTTCCGTACAATATCAAATACATTATATTTGTATTTTCAACTTTCTTAATTCATGTCAATCATCCAATAATAATTAAAAAAAGTATTGCAATCAACAGAAAATTAAAAGTTTTTCCTGTATTTGTAAGATTTTCGTTCAATCTACATTTAAAGAATCAACTAGAAGTGTTAAGTATAGGTTTTGATGTTATCTAAAACTTTTGACGATCAAAAGTGATCTTTAAGGGTTCAATTTTTTCTTTTTTATGTACGGAATCGTAAAGATGGCCTTCTTTTAAAGATTCAATTACGGCAACAAATACTGTATTTAGAGCCCTCTCCTCTGTAAGGGGGAGGGGAGAGAAGGAAATACCCCACGTGGAGGAACGAATTTTTGCACATTATAACCTAACATATCCTATCTAACTTATGTTAGGCTAGGTTTGTACCATCAATTCCGACGTGTGACTGTCAAATTCGCAAAAGTTATGTACCTATAAACTATTTTTATTTATTAATAATTCTTTAGAGCATCTTCCCCTGACTTTTTCATAATTGGAGCATTTTGAGTCATTTCCAGGAAAAGTAGGTTTTTGAAAAAGCTGCGATGTACCTAAAAATGGTACTACTTTTCGGTAAAAAGTGTTTTATCAAATTTATAATAGATCACGAAGGAGGCACCGTTTTACATTCAGCATAGAATAATACAGTAATATGTATTTATTTATTCTTTATACAATCTACTCGGCAAAATTATGAAAATGAAATTGAATTAATTAGCACGTACACATAGTATTAACTGATTCCCAATTTATTAAAAAATGTTTGATATTATATATTAACATAAAATATTTCATTTTACAAATAAAACACCACAGCAAAAATACAACTGTCAAATAATTTTGTGAATTATCAACATCATCTTAACATAAAATAGACGATTTTCTCTATCACTTACCAAAATATTCCACAATATTCCTCCTGTAGTATATGTAAACTTCAGTGTTATGTAAAAGATTCCTCAATTAAATGTGATACTAACCATTTACTATTTTATAAAAATAATCACGATTTAAACAACTATTACCAATGGACAATGAAGGTTTTCAAAATTACCTACTTCAATTATTTAGTCCGTAGAAAATACAAATAAATAAAATAAGCCTACATCTGTATTTTTATACACGTCAACAAGATAACCGGTCTACGTGACAAAAACACCACAAATGCCAGACAAGACACAAAGGGAAGAAAACAATTTCCTTGAAATCACAATATCAACTATTTGGTTCAATATTATTCAATTTTATGAGACTGATTAGCGTGGAAAACGGCAAAAATTTTGATCGAAAAAAAACTACGCATTTTCCATTTACCAGTGTTGACACGTTTATAATTTATGTAAACATCTGGGATAGCCTAGCTACAGTACCTTTCAGCTTTGATTTTAATTAAACATGTAAAACAGAAAATTACCTACTGTCACTCGTTGTATTGTGGTGAGACAGATTGTCTCCTGTTTTTTTCCGAGAAAATCTCGAAAATTTTCCGGACTTCTCCGTTTCGCGATAGAAAACAACCGGCCATAAACAACTCACTGTGTGTTATTTTGAAACTGGCTTCACGTCTGCGTGACCCCAAACATTTACGTATCTTTGTCTTCCCTTGCCTCCTTCGATGCTTTAAACGAGTAGGAATGAAATAGAGAACTAAATGGCCTGTTGTAGTTCTATGGAAACGTACAAACTAATTGGAAATAAAGAGAATGTTCTAGCAGCGATCTAGCATTGGCAATTACAATTTCACCTCTTGCCATTAGAGTGTGGTAACAATTATTGCTAAATTTAAAAAGACGATGACCTGAGAATGATTTTTGCATACACAATTTCGTAACGCTGATCTGAATTCAGTTTTGGCATATTTTAGACGAATACCTAATTATATTCAAGGATTTCGATATTGGTTCTTTGTGAAACATTGTATTGACATTAATCAAATACAAAACCTCTAGGTTTTTAATGTTCATTTTACTGACAGACAAACTGTACAACTGTTTTCGCCATTGAGCATTTTTCAATAGTATCAGGAAAGTTTCAGGAGTGCCAACCTCATTAGTAGAAAAACTACAATTGTTTTTGACTATTGAGGCTTTTTCTAGAGTATCAAGTAGGAGGGGATCAGGAGTACCTCTCTACTCTACTAATGAGGTTGGCACTCTTGATACTCTTGACAAAGGCTCAATGGCGAAAACAATTGTACAGTTTTTCTATCAGCAAAATGAACATTAAAAACCTAGAGGTTTTGTATTTGATTGATGCCAATACAATGTTTCACAAAGAAACAACATCCAAATCCTTGAATAGTATATTCTCCTGATACCTCTACCTGATACTCTCAAAAAAGCTCAATAGGCCAAAACAATTGTAGACTTTTTCTAATGAGCATAGGTACTCCTGATACTCTTGAAAAAGGCCCAATGGGCTGAAACAATTGTACAGTTTTTCTACCAACAAAGCAAACATTGAAAAGCTGCAGAGGATTTGTATTTGATTAAATAATTTATTCTGATAAAGTATTATTTGGTTAAAGTTGTGGAGGAGTGAAATGCAAGACTAGAACCAGCAAATTTCTCAGTTATAGATTTTTGATGTCCCATAACATGGGGAAGCTTTCAAAAACTGATGAGCTCAGAAATGGAATCAAAATTTATATTGTTTTATTATGAACCAAAACTAAATCTTCTGTATTATGCATGCTTGATATCTGTCAAATTTGATTCAGTATACAAAGGAGTATAGTCATGATCATCTAATTGCCTAAGCTTCCTCAGGATGAGATAACCTTCTAATAAATCTAAGCTAAACTGATTCAAGAAATTTCATAACTTGTTGTCCAAATAACTGAGCAATATTGAATAACAATGCAGTCCCATACAATATATCAAGGTGTTTCTTGTACATCTATAAATAAAAGCCATCATAAAATTTACTCTGGAAACAATATCATTTATATGATTAGGAAAACTTATTGTAGAAACATAAACTACATTAAGGTCAAGGTAGCTGTTAGTTTCAAGAATCTGCTTAACGCCAATTTTATAATTAAAAGTTAAATTGTATCTATTCTATCTTGAGAAGGACAGCACTCTGCATTTGTCCACGTTTAATTTCATATCCAAAGATAGTATCCAAATCCTCCTACAACTTAGAGCAGCATCAGAGAATAATTGTAGGTCGTGAACAAAGAGCAGCACTTGTGCAAAGTTCAACCTCATTTCAATTTCATTAATAAAAACTAAAAACGCTAAAAACAATAGAGGGCCCAGCACAGATCCCTGTGGGACACCTGAGGTCGCAGTGTAAGATAGTTTATTTTTTATTTTGTTTCTTTAAAAGAAACATGTTGTCGTATAGTTACTGAACAAATTTTAGTATTTTTCACTTGTGGAAACGGTTTAATAAATATATTTATGTTTATATTGAATTTCTGTTCTACTAAAATGGAACCCCTTGTATAGTATTTACAAGTGTAAAATAGTAATGGCGTCTATTGAGTTAGCCAATCACCATTCGAGGCTATCACTGCAATTATCATTGTAATTATTATGTAGGCTATTCAATTAGTGAATGTGTTATTAAGTGCGTACAAATACAGATTTGACAGTTTACAAAAATTTTTAATATTTCAAAAAAAAAAACTAAAAATTTAAATATCATTTAACAAAAAAATGTTATTAATGTTAAGTCCAAAATTTCTTTAATCAACAATATTAATCCTAATACTCCAATAATAGGTAAGCTCAGAAGTAATGTATACTGCTTTAGCAACAAAAGTTTATTATATTTTAGTCTTAAAAGCTCAACAATGGGAAATTCGGGGCTAAAACAGCATCTAGAAACAGCAAAGAAAACAGGAGTATTGAAGATATCACAGCAGAAGCTTAATGAATTTCCACCTGCACTGCTCCACCTTGACGTGAATTTACGTGTTCTGGACATATCTGAGAACAAATTTACTAATCTGCCCCCTGAAATTAGCAGATTTATTCATTTGAAGCAGCTTAACATCAACCGTAACAAGCTTTCAAAGTTACCAGATTGTATTGGTGCATTGACAAAACTGGAAAATTTAAGTGCATGTCATAACTATTTGACATCAGTACCTCGCACTGTATCAAATTTAATTAATTTAAAGCAAGTTTATTTAGGTGATAATAGGATAAAAGATTTTCCAACAGTATTTTGTGGCTTAAAATACCTTGATATCTTAGATTTATCCAAGAATGATATCAATTCAGTTCCTGGAGACGTTTCTAATTTAAATGTCACAGAATTGAATTTGAATCAGAACCAGATTTCAGAGATTTCACCTCAAATTGCAAACTGTCCAAGATTAAAGACTCTACGTCTAGAAGAAAACTGCTTGCAACTAGCTTCAATACACCCTACTATCTTATCAGACTCTAAAATATGTAATCTTGCATTAGATGGTAATTTGTTTGAAGTTAAAGACCTAGCTGATGTTCCTGGATATGATAGCTATATGGAAAGGTACACTGCTGTTAAAAAGAAAATGTTTTAGGGCTAAGTAATGCCCCAAAATTCTATATCTACTTATAAGCTTCGACAATCGCCTTTTATCTAATTCTGGTGCTTTCTGTCAATTCTATTATTAAACTATGAGACTCCTGTTAATATCCTGCCAATACACAAATCTAATGCTCTGTTTTATTTTCTGGGCTGCAATCAAGTATTTGGGCAGCAGTATTTTTCTGCTTATCCATTTAACATACAATGGTCATAGCTTTCCCAAAATTTAGTTTAGTCTTTTTTGTGTATCTTATTTAAAGTCACTATGCAATAGTACAATTTCAATATTTGACCCTATGCTTATAAAGTGGGACTTTGTTGGATCAAATGAGGCTATAGGTTTTGTAAAATATATCCCAATATTTTTAGAATATACTGCAAAAAGGGTTAGTCTTATTCTGGGTATAATTAGGGCTGCTACCTTTTGTTGATCGAAAACCAGCCCTGGAGGTGATTTTTTGGGGGTCATATTTTACCAAAATTATTTTTTCAAAGCATTAAGTTATACTAGTATGATTTAGATTTTAAAACAATGCTATAAGATTAAAACTTTGTAATTATATTTTGTATTTCGTGGTGTATCTGGTGTTTCACTGTTTCTATCAATCATATTTGGTGGTATTACGAAATAGCAAGTGTGAACCCACAACAAACGTATAAAGTTCGGTGAATCCCGGAAAATCGACAAACTACGGTCTTGTAGAATAACTAAGTATTCTCACTATTCATCAATAGATGGCAGACCATGTTTTAATTGATTTCTTGACTTAGCTGCTTTTCTGAAAACAATAACAATCTATTGCCAAGAAAATTACAAGAAAACCGGCCCTTTCTGAGTGCTGACCGGTACTTGGCCTCGTTAATAAAAAACCGGCTGAAAACCAGCCTAGTGGCAACCCTTGATATAATGCAAGTTGATTGTGAATTACGAATAATTACTGTAGACAGCATAATGAGCGCCATTTGTAGAAAATTTGTCCTTATTAGTTTTGTAAAATATAATTTTGTTAAAATAAAAAGACTGCTGGCGAAATAATTGATTGACCCTAATGTTTAAGTCTTTATAGTATCAATTTCTTTTAAGATAACATACAAAATTTTAATCTTAAAATGATGTTATCTTAATAGCATGTAAAACATTTAGAGTAGGTAGACAACTTGGTTAGTTCTTTGTGAAAAGTTAACCGGTTTGCCGGAAAGAAGTTCAATTACAATAAGCAGAGCATTATTACAAGGGAACAGTTTTTTTTAGATGAATCTAAATCGTAATACTCGTAGTATTTCAAGATAAATGCGTCTAATTGTAAATGTTATTATTCTGTGATGCTATAATATTTCAAAAGTCTCTTACCGATCATGTAGATGAACAGTCATTTCTTTGATGCATTCACTAACTTGTAATCTTTACAAAATGGCGTTAATCCAACTATTTACTGATTTTTGTAGTGACATTATTGCTGTTTTCGATTGTTCTTTGTTTTCGACTGTTCTCTATTGAATAGCACTGTTACCAACAGTGATTTATTAAAATCGTTTTTAATATAAATTTGATTTCAGTAATGAAGTAGCTAGTTGATTGTTTCCATTTCTTATCGACTATTGCATAAGTGTTACCAACACTCATTTCCGGGTTTTATGGGTATATTTATTAGTGTATTTCACTATTTCTGACTTTAATTTGAGTATAGCAGTGTGGTGTCGTTAATTGTTTTCAGTTGTTGTCGATTATTGCATGAAACTGTTACAAATAAAACTCATTTTAGGTAAATGTACGAATTGTAAATCAGCACATATTTCTACTTTCGGTTTATTAAAACCGCCCTTGATTTAAATTGCACATTTTTATTGACATTTTTATAAAGATTATTGTATACTACAGCATCAACATTGCAGAATACATTTTAATTAATATTTAAGTAGTTGTCACATTTTTAGTCATTTTACTGATGGCAAACATTAGTAAAAATTCTTACTTTTAAAACACAAATAAAAGAGATAAAGTCTGATTTCTATTTATTATTTAAAAACGGCATTTATGTAATTATAATTATTGTATTTAGTAGATGTGTAAATTTACTTGAAAACGATGTGCATAGCTGTTAAATGAATTTACCGTTTGTGCAATTATTTATTTTGAATCTTCAATAAATATATATATATACATATATATTACTGTAATTTAATTTTCTTTTGTTGAAATAATATTTCGAATCACTGTTAAAATTAAATACAAATTTCAATGGAAATTATTATGAGTCATTTGCTTCAATTCCGCAAAACACACATTTAATAAAACATTGTCACTTAACAACAGCCTGCCACTCTTATATATCCAACAAATTTGAATTGACGTGAACCATTGTAAAGAAAGGAATTGTGCGCATCCAAATTTGAAAATTGGTTAAAGAAACACTTCAAATTATGACACGTTTGCTTCAATTCCGCAAAACACACTTTCGATAAAATATTATGTCACCTTACAACACTCTGTCACGCTTTTATATCAAATAAATTCGAATTGACTTAAACCATTGTAAAGAAAGGAATTTTGCGTGTCCAAATTTGAAAATTGGTTGGAGTAGACCCTACAATTATGAATCATTTACATAAGTTCCGCAAAACACACTTTCGATAAAGCACTATGTCACCGTACGACACCCTGACACTCTTTTTTTATTAAACAAATTCGAATTGACTTGAACTATTGTGAACAAAGGAATTTTGCGCAACCAAATTTGACAATTGGTTAAAGAAGACCCCAAATTATAAATCATTTGCTTCAATTCCGCAAGACACTTTAGATAAAACATGTCACCTTAGGACACTCTGTCACGCTTTTATATCAAACAAATTCGAATTGACTTGAACCATTGTAAAGGAAGGAATTTTGCGCGTCTAAATTTGAAAATTGTTTAAAAAAGACCCCTAATTATGAATCATTTGCTTCAATTCCGCAAAACACTTTCGATAAAACACCATGTCATCTTACGACATCCTGCTACGCATTTATATCAAACAAATTCGAATTGACTTGAACCATTGCGAAGAATTTTGCGCGTCTAAATTTGAAAATTGTTTAAAAGAGACCCCTAATTATAAATCATTTGCTTCAATTTCGCAAAACACTTTCGATAAAGCATTATGTCACTGTACGACACTGTCACGTTTTTATATCAAACAAATTCGAATTGACTCGAACCATTGTAAAGAAATGAATTTTGCGTGTCCAAATTTAAAAATTTGTTAAAAAAAGACCCCGAATAATGAATAATATACTACAATACCGCAAAACAGTTTCGATAAAGCATTATGTCACTGTACGACACCCTGCCGCTGTTTTATATCAAACAAATTCGAATTGACTTAACATCATTGTAAAGAAACGAATTTTGCGCGTCAAAATTTGAAAATTGGTTAAAACAGACCTCAAATTATAAATAATTTACTACAATTCCGCGAAACACTTTCGATAAAGCATTATGTCACTGTACGACACCCTGCCGCTGTTTTATATGTAAAGAAACGAATTTTGCGCGTCTAAATTTGAAAATTTATTAAAAAATTCCCCAAATTATGAATTATTTGCTTCAATTCCACAAAACACACTTTCGATAAAACATTGTGTCACCTTACAACACCCTGCCACGTTTTTATATCAAACAAATTCGATTTGACTTGAACCATTGTAAAGAAACGAATTTTGCGCGTCTATATTTGAAAATTGGTTAAAAAATACCCCAAATTATGAATCATTTGATTCAACTCCGTAAAACACACTTTCGATAAAACATTAGGTCACCTTAGGGCACTCTGTCACGTTTTTATATCAAACAAATTCGAATTGACTCGAACCATTGTAAAGAAAGTAATTTTTCGCGTCCAAATTTGAAAATTTGTTAAAAAAGACCCCAAATTATGAATCATTTACTTATGTTCCGCAAAACACATTTTCGATAAAACATTATGTCACCTTACAACATCCTGCTACGCTTTTATATCAAAGGTCAGAACCACAATGGGGTTGTAAATATTTTGTTGATATAAAAAAGTTGATCTTGGTTATACATGTAAAATTATTTAGCAGGCTATTTTGGCTCTGATCTTTTACACTAGAGTAACTATTTGTTATCAGTGTTATGTCAATGGTAAAAAATATATCTTAACTACAACAATTAGAAAAAAATGTATCTTATTCGCTGTTTTCAACAACCAACGATAGTGTAAACAGGACACCAACATAAAAGATGATACCAATTCATAGTTAATTAAACTAACAAGTTTTCTTGAACAAAGTTTTATATTGAAATAAGCAATGAAATTAAATTCGGATTTCGCATTTCGTATTTAAAATACAAAAAGAAAAAAATATTTTGTATTTTGAATTTCAAATAGGAAATCAAAAATGTATTTGCCTTTTAACAAATCATTTTGCACATCTCTGTATTTTACAGTATCACATATTGTCCGATAATTCTTCGGATAATTTCGCAATATATTACGAACTGGCCCATTTTACTGCCTCAAGTTAATGTGTGTTATCGTTTCATATGAGTCAACGTCGCTGTTGTTAACAGTATTTCGTTGTCGGTTTCGTGAAAAAAATATTTAAAACGTGGCGATTTTGAAAATATTCAGGATACCAATTCAATGTGATATGCGTTGAGATTCCTGTAATTTCATTAGGTAAGCTATATCCTTATAGGGTAGTTAGAAATGACATTTTTTTCACTTTTAATAAATACCATTTATCCAGACAACGGTAGAAAAACAACATTCCAGTAATTAATGTTGTCAAGGTGATGTCTTTTTATTGAATCCTTTTTAAGGAACTGTTATTGGACGTTTGATATTTTTTAATCATCCTGATTTGATTATTGTGGAAACGTTTGTCGACATTTTAATGTTATTTAAATGAATCTTATTTATATAAAATTTGTAATAAAGATTAATTAATAGATTTATATATTTGAAAATGATTTTTTTTATTTACAGATGTTTTTCGTATTCGTTTCCAAAGTCATGTCATGAAGGACATTCCTTGGTATGATCGTGATCCCCGTGTAAAAATTAAGGGTACGGTGGTAAGTTTTTCGTATTATTTACTGTCTTGTTATTGTTAACAAAGATTACAATT